GGGGGCGACCCTATGCATTTTATTTTTAACTTGGGGTCTCTGCTAACATTCCTACCGGATCTAAAGAGTCTGGCATAGATCGAGAGGGGAACACCATGCTGTTTTTTTTTTCTTTTATTAAACCTGTCATTTCTTTTTATTCTGCTCGCTACCTCGGAGGTAGGGCACAGAATAGCCGAGCCGAATGCCACTCTATGAGAATAGGGTGAACAGCAGCGAGTGAGCTGACGGAGGTTTGGCTCAGCCGATCCAGATGTTGGATCAACTGAGTCGAATGGCTCCTTCACTTCAGCTCAGCTGAATAGGCTGAGCATGTTCGGCTGAACCACAGCCAGCCGATGTATGGCTGATTTTAGCCAATGTAAGGCAAAAATCAGCTGTACAGGCCCAAAGTGAATAGCTGAATGGTGTTCGGCTGACTTCACTTTGGCTCGGTTTTTCACTCGGCTGCCTACGGCAGCCGAGTGAATAACCACCTAAATAGGTCTTATCCCAATTTGGCTGCTAAAGTGGAACTACACTTTAAGCACAACAGCAGTTCCAGTATACATCGGTAATAAATGGATTTCTCAGTTCGGAGTGCCAATGTGTCTGAAAAAAATATGTTTCAGTGAGCATCTTCTGTTGCAATTCTAACCTTTAAAACATGTCCGTATCACTGCCACCATACCAGACAGCAATGTAACAGAGTGTACACTAAGGTAGGTGTTCTCAGGAGAAAAGTTCTTAATTTTCTAGTAGAGCATTCAAGAAATTCAACCTAATAATTTTAAATATCACTTTTATAAAAATTATACAGTGCTGGAAATATTAACAGAAAAGACATTACAAAACGTACATAAATGAATAGAAGACTATATAAAAGTTTTGTTTTAGGTCAAAAACCAGACTCTGCCCAAATTGCCATGGTAATTGATTGGTGTTCCTAAAATGTGAGAAAAATGTTATCAATTGTGAAATTATCACAAAGTAATTAAACAATTATGGGTTATCCACAACACCTGTGTTGCACAATGCCTGTTCTAATGATACTTTGGTCTAGACACTATAAGCTATAAAAACATTGAACAAAATGTGAACAAAAAAAACATATGCTTGTGCTAGTACATCTCATAGAATGTGTGCATATAGAAAGTCCGGTATTTGTAAGGATAAAATGGCAGCCACCCATGTGCAAAAGCCCAATCTCGAGAAACACGCCATAGTGTGAATGCGCACATAAACGGAGGTGCGCGGGAAGACACGCAAACGGCTGGCGCACAGGAAGTGATGCTGTTGCCTCAATTAGGGGACTATATAAGGACGAGCCTGCCTGCACCACATTGCTGATGGTCTTGTCAGCTTATGTTTCCTGTTGCCTGTGTCTCTGTTGGATTGCCTATGCCCCGTTTAACCCGGATTGCCTTGGGCTACCCTTCTGCATGCTGCCTGCCCCGCACCTTGGCCTGTTCTTCGGACTTGCTCTTGCCTGCTGATTTTGTACTTTGCTGCCCGGCTGGATCTGAACTTTGGCTTCCCCGACCACTATTCCAGTCTCCCGAAATGAAAAGTAATTAATTTTGGGGTTAAAATGCAAGAGTACTTATTAATGGGAACTCCACTAAGGAAGTCAGAAGTAGAAAAAGATTTGGAGGTCATAGTTGACTGCAGATTAAACAATAGCATGCAATGCCAGGCTGCAGCAAACAAAGCTAACAGAATACTGTAATGCATTAAAAAAGGAATGTACCCTAGAGACAAAGCAATAAATATGCCACTTTACAGATCACTGGAACTCTTTTCCACAAGCAGTGGTAGTAGCAGAGAGTATTGACTCATTCAAAAATCATTCAGATACTTTCCTCAGAGACCATAACATACAGTGGTACAGGTACTCCTAAAAGGAGAACTATGGGGTAAGCTCGCGATATACTGAGACCGCCGCAGCCGGGACGGATCCACCCAGCAGCGTGACAGCTGGCTCTGCCTATCTAGAGGCAGAGCCAGTTGTACCCGCCCCCTCCCCCGTCCGTTCCACCAGTCAGCGCTGTAGGATCATACAGGGGAGGGGGGAATCCCTGCAGGGAGCCGTGAGTGACAGTCTGCGTTCGCTCACTTCCCGATCTATTGAGCTGATGTGTGACAGTTTAATTGTCACACGTTGGCTCG